CGCTTCATGTGCAGTTTTAGAATCACATCCTTCAATTTCTGACAATGCTATCAAAGCATCATGTATATCACCAACTTGATAACGAACGGCTTTGACATTACTTATTTTTGCTTCCCACCGCGTGTCACAGAGTTTCTATAAATACAAAATTTTAACGTAATCAATTAAAATTTTCCATCGGCTCACTGAAGCTGAGAATAGAGTGAACAATCTCTGGAGAATACCGAACAAAGTTAAAGATTTTGCTAAAGACCGTGCAGAGTCACTTATTACCAAATTTAAACTATGACTGTCGCCGGGAACATACAAGGCTAAAGAATTAAGATTTAAAATCCCTTTTTGTATCCCGTTAATCTTTCTTTTCATATTTAATCCATTATCATACCCTTGATCTCTGCAGTTAGAGATTTCAAGTCCATGTTTAATTAGCAATTTGATCAAAACAATAAGTTCTAAGCCTGTAGAATCAGAAACAGAAAAAAACCCTAAAAAGTACTCTACAATTTCAACTCTAATGTCTAATGACAAGTCAACAATTCGAATTATGAGAGAAAGTTGTTCTTTTTTAAAAATATCAGGTGTACAATCAGCAATAATTGAATAGTAAACAGCTTTCAAGACTTGATTTATTATTTCACCATTAACTTTTTGAGACATTAAATCTATTTACTCATTTTGAATATTTTTCCCGCAGTAATGATCTAAAATGCCATCTTTTATTGCAAGTATTAAATGTTTTTGCATCGTAAGATAAAATTTTGCAAGCATCTGTATTAGTCCAAAGAATTTGCCCTTTTGAGGTGTAAAAATTTTATCTGAACTCCCTCGAAAAGTCATATTATTTTCAGCTAGATAAAGAGTGATGAAGAACATTTTGCCTTCGCAAACTGTCTTTTTATATAATTTTAATTTATTATCTATATTTTTTCCAGTTTTTAATCTTATTTCAGTTTCCATCCACTGTTGATAACATTTCATATGGGTTACGCTAATTTCATGAATTCCCAATGTTTCAGTTAAATGTCTCCCTTTATTGAACCCATCAGAGATTAAGTTTGACTTTAAATTATTATCAAAAAGTAGGCAGCAAAAACAAAATACAGAGTTTTTAGAATTTGAATAAACCAACCACCTATGCCAAAAAGTTTTTCCATTTGCAAGTTTTCTATTGCAATAAATGCTAGAAAAATGTCGACCATTTTTATCTACAGGGTATTTTGCCTTTGTAATTTAAAAAGTGCCAAGTTTAATTAAATGGTCCACAGTGTTGCTAGATTGAATAATTGGCCACTTTCCACAATCCAATAAATAAGATGTTTCTTGTACAAAATCTTCCGATAAATCATTTGATTCTTTTAAAATAACTGGTTCATTATTTACTTTGATATCCAGTAAAATTATACAACTATTTTTGAGTATTGTTGAAGGTTTATTGACTTATAATTAACTTTATTGGATATAGCTGTAGAGATAGTTGAAGAATCAGAAATCTTCACAACCTTCGTCAGTTTTTTATAAGCAACATATTTTTCAATGCTCATAAATTTTTTAAATTTTTGATCTTTTTTGGACTTTCTTTTTCTAAACTCTTACCCAAACTACTTTTTTCTCGAATTTGAAATGTTATCTGACATGAGACATTATTTTTTATTCGTAAGATAAAATTTTTTCTATGATTGAAAAAAAAAATTTAACAAAGTTCTCAAGAAGCATTACTAAAATTTTTAAAGAAGATAAAACAAAACAAAACTTGCTGATTTTTAAAATCGGGTCTACTTAACATTTAATAACAAAAAATATGAACTTTTGAACTTCTTTATAAAAAAAAAAATTGTGCAACTTTTCGAAATGACTCCTAGAGCCATTTCGAAAACTTTTTGAAATGACTCCTAAATAACGCACAAATGATACTATAAAATACAACTAAAAACCATGCGTTAATTATATCTTTTAAGTAAGTTTTGTAAAAGGTCAGGCGTTAAATCTTTTATTTTTGATTTACTATTAGAAAATTAAAACTTGTAACTAATAAAAATCTCCGCCCCTATTTGTCGCCCTCGTGCAGCGCACGACCTCGCTTCCCCTAAAAATCGGCCCTGTTTTTATATATATATATATATATATATATATATATATATATATATATATATATATATATATATATATATATATATATATATATATATATATATATATATATATATATATATATATATATATATATATATATATAAACAGGGCCGATTATATATATATATAAAAACAGGGCCGAAAACTTAAAACATTCGACCCCCCTTTCCCTGTTGCCTTGCGTACTTTTAAGTACCCCCATCCCCCTTAAAACATACATATGCTTTTAAAACATTCCCCCTCCTTTCTTTTATGGATTACACGTGTTCAATTTAGAAAAGAGTATCCTCGCAGACGGAAAGTCACGTCGTTATACAAAATAACAATAGCGCAAGTTGTTACCATCTTGAATGGGGGAAAACAAATGATTAGTTGATTTAATAAAGCAGGAGAATTTGTACGAAAAAGTGATTTAAAGAGTTTAAAAAAAGAAAATTCGGTTTACAAATACTTTGAAAAATTAGATTTTAACGCCGCAGAAAGGTATATTAATAAACTTGCAATCCTTGCAATCAACCGATATAATATAATATAATATATATTTCGCCATAAAGAAAATATTTACAAAATTAGACTTTAAAAACTGTATATACACGGCTGGGGCAAGAAGAAGACAAATTCAGTCTTATCGCCAAGCCCCTTCAAACAAGAATATAAGTAACAAACAAAACAAAAAACCAAAAAACCAAAAAAAATCCGTTATCACAATATAATATATGCGTAAGGTACATATATAAACACAAATATTTTTCATTAAAATTTAATATTTTTTTTTTATATTTTTTTTTTTATTAGGATTTCAAATTTTAATAGTAAATAAAAATGAGATAAAACATGATAGTTTAAGAAGGTAAAGATTCAAATTAAAATCAAAAATTAATATGTTAAAAATAAATTAAATATCAAGTAAAAAACAAGTGATTACTCCTATTTAAAAGTTTGAGAAGAAGTCAAGTTCATTGTCAATTATCAAAAGTTTACTTTTTATTTTTATTTTATATTGATTAAGGGAAGAAATTTTTTTAAACTCATTATCCAATAGGGTGTTCCATAATTTAGGTCCTCTGATTGCTATCGAGAACCTAGTCGCAGAATAATATTTTTTTGGTTGAATATAATTGTTGTTTGAAAATCTTGTTGGGTATAAATGATTTATTTTTTCGAAAAATGAATTAAATAAAATGGGTGCTATTTTATTATCTACTTTGAACATAAATATAAAAATATGATATAGGTTAAGTTGAAATACGTTAAGTATTTTGAATTTATTAAAAAGTAATTTAGTGTGCAAAAAGCGATTCACATTTCCAATAATTCTTAGAGCGTGTTTTTGTTTAATTAGAAGCCCTTTATTTTTAGATACATTAGTGCTGCACCAAGCAACGTTAGCGTAATTTAGATAGCAATGAATAAAAGAAAAGTATATAAGTTTCAAACAAGTTTGGTTCAACAACTGTTTTGCTTTGTATAAAAGGCCTATATTTTTCGAAATTTTATTTTGGATTATTCGTATGTGCTTCTTCCATGTTACGTTTTCATCTAAAACAACGCCTAAAAACAACAAAGAACTCTCTCTTTTGACATAAGAGTTATTAATAAAAAGCTTAGGAAGTTGTAAGGGTATGTTGTCTTTATCATGAAGACGATGGAAGAAAGTATATTTTGTTTTTTTAACATTTATGGACAACTTATTTGATATAAACCATTCGCTTAGTTTCACAAGCTCCTCGTTCACTGTTGTAAATAAAAAATTAATATCTTTATTTGAATAAAATATGTTAGTATCGTCAGGAAATAAAATTGAATTTAAGATATTGGAAAATTTACTCAAATTATTTATATAAATGAGAAATAAAAGCGGTCCTAGAATTGATCCTTATCTATACAAGTTCCTTGCAAATACTTGGAAAGATGATTTAACTGAATGACCATGAGTTCAATATCATGACGTTTATAATTATATAATAAAAAGTCCTATAATATTTTCTTTTAAGGCTATAGATAATTACGAAGCATTAAATGCTTATAAATATTTTGGCTTTGGCAAGATGCAGGAAGTTTTTCACACGAAGTTAAACTCTAGTTTTGTCGTTTTGAAAACACAAGTTGTCTAACTTGTGCGTTTAAAACAACAAAACCATCTTAGTCACAAGAGTTGACTCAAAATACCAAAAACCATCTTATAAAACATATATATATATATATATATATATATATATATATATATATATATATATATATATATATATATATAATGTAACCATATAATAAATATATATATATATATATATATATATATATATATATCAAAAATCACCTATAGACAACAACTCTTGGGCATTGACATTAAGCAAGACTTTTATGTTATGCCATTGTTTTCGTTTCAGAAAGAAAGTTTATTTTCCCCCAACTAAAATGATACCTGTTCCCGGCAAAGATTATGACGTATTTCCGACTGCGAGGATAAATAAAGAAATATTTTTTAAAGTAGAGCGAGCGACTTTAAAACTTAATATTAAGTTAATATCATAAATATTAATTTTTATAGTTAATTTACAGGCAAATCTGTAAGTTAGAGAGGTTAATGCAAGCGACTTATTTTAAAAAAGTAGGAGATCATTTTGCTCTTTTTTGCGACGGATTTTTTGCGACTGGATTTAATGGGTTTTTGATATTCTTGGTTTAATTGAAGACTTTGCGAGGGAAAAAGTTTAACCCATTTTCTTTTGTTATTCAGTTAAATTTTGCGTAACGTAGTTTATGGACGATTCCTTACGTACTTTTTATTTAAAGCCCCCTCCCCCGTGCACTTTCGTACGCTACTTTTTCTCATGAATCCATTTTTCTCGTTGTTTTTCTTTAAAAGCACGTTTGTCATTCCATTTGATTCGGGAAATAATTACAAAAGTATCATAATGTTTGTAAAAAATTTACAGTGGAAAAATTTTAATAAACTAAATAAAAAATTCATACTAGATAAAAAAATGCAGCAAAAAATATTAACACACAAATATAAATATAAAAATATTATTATTCTTTCAAACGACTTATCACGCATGTCCTTTAATGTTTAAAAAAAACAAAAAAAAAACAATATTACGCATAACATTCTGCAGCCGTTTTTCATAACGCCTTAAGGTAAAAAATATCAATTTTGACTTTTTTACAAAATAAGCTAGTTTAGATGTCTATAAACGTTATTGAATACATATTTTCATAGAGTTCTGAAAAAATTTGTAAAAATTATTTGCTTTAAAAAACGTTTTACAAAAAGTTTCTAATAATTTTTTTTAAGCGTGTTTTTCTTGAAATACGTAATAAATATAGGCGTTTTGAAAAACGGCTGCAGCATTATGCATTAAAAAAAATCCGAGTTTAAAAAAAAATTGATAGAATAAAAAGTTAAAAAAGTAATCAACTTTTTAAATATGTATTGCGTACCAATGCTTGTAAAACATATATTGCTCATCTATGCTTGTAAAATATGTACTCCTCACCTATGTAACTTTTTAAATACTAAATGATCACCTATGCTGATAAAATAGTATATAATTTTCTTACAATGGTTAAAAATGTTAAAGAATTTTCACCAAATTTAATATCTTCTTACTAATAACTCACGCAGTGTTTCAATTTCGGAATCATGTTTTCCTTTTCTATCACATTCTCTGAGTTTTATTTGAAGCTGACTAGTATCTAAATTTAATCGTTTTCGAGCATCTATTACTGAATACAGTAAAGGAAGCAGATATGGATTAGAATTATCATCGCTTAGTAATGACAAACACTCTTCACCCAAATCATTCACTGCTTTAAAGTCTTTTAAATTCTTGTTTGTTTCGATTGCTCCACAGATTGTTGGTATAATCTCTTCCTTATTCGCGTCAAGTTTTTTCTGCAACTGAAATGCTAAAAAATACTCTGTTCTACTTCTTGAATATTCTTCACACTTTAACAACTCTGTTGCTTTTTTTATATGTGGAATACAAAAAAAATGTTGAAAAGCATTCGATTTCATTACATCCCCTTGATGCGCAACAAACGTTAAATATTTCTTTAAATATCGAGACCTTTCAACAGCTTCATTTTCAGTTGGTCTAAACATTGTCTTTTTTGGAAAATCAATAGATTGCACAGCATATGGACACTCTTTTTTAAGTCTGTCATGAAGGTCTGAAAAATTTGAGAAACTCCGTTCAATTTTAATTTGATCAGCATCAAATCCTGTATCTTTCATGATCATGATCACATATACCTAAATCACATGATCACATATACCTATAATCACATGATCACATATACCTTAAAAAAAAAATAATGTCAAATAAAAAAATGTTAAAATAACTAATTTACTTCTAACAAGGCTGCAATAAAGTTGGGAAACAAAGTCAAATAATAAACAAAAAAACATTTATAGACGAGTTTTGATTAAGATGGATTGTTGTATTGGATATCATCAAAAAGAATTAATTAATATATTGTAGTTTACTCACTTTATTTGTTTGTTTTGCGCAACTGGAGTTGCGTACGTGTGTGTTTATGACAGGGTTGGCATTAAAAAACCCACCCAATAAAACCCAATAAAACCAACCTAAAAAAACCCAATAAAACCAACCTAAAAAAACCCAATAAAACCAACCTAAAAAAACCCAATATAACAAGGGTAGTCTTGTTTTGATTAGGTTTTTAAAGATATTTAATAATTTTACGAACTATTATAACCAACATTAACATTATAACTATAATGCTATTAACTAAATTAATTATTAACTATTATTATTAACTAAATTATTATTAACTAAATTATTATTAACTAAATTATTATTAACTATTATTATTAACTAACAATAACAGCTCTCAGAGCAGGTTTACTAATATTTGAATTATTATTTGGAAATATAATAATTTTTATTCAAATATTTTTATTGAGAAATATTTATATTGAGATTTTTTTATCTTTTATGTTATTCACCTTCCAAGGTGAATTTAAATGAGTAATAGTGGCCTGATAAGGCCACTACAGTGAAGGAGGCAACTTATTTACTTACTAGGCCTTATTGTGGTTACAACCCTCTCCCAACTCTTTAACTCCTTAACAAGAACCTTTATAAACAAGGCTGCTGCGTGGAGAAACAAGTTTGTTCATTTGAATTTCAAGTTCAAATTTGAAGTTTTTTTTAAAAAATACACATGATGGAGGACAAAAAAAAAAAAAATAATATTTCAAAATCTTTTTCAAAATAACTTGAAAACTTTGTGTTATAATTTATTAAATAACAATAAATTTAACTAATTTACAATATCACTAAAATCGAGATATTAGTGGATTAAAATCGAGATATTAGTGGATTAAAATCGAGATATTAGTGGATTATCAAAGTATCTATATAAAAAAACATTCAAAGCTAATCAAGCTATGAACTGTTAAAAAGGAGGGTTCGTCATTATGCGTCATAATAATCTACACAATTATGAGAGTAATATGCTTCAGAAAATCTGCAAAGATGTCCAAATAGAGCCACCACTCCAGCAAATAAATGGTGAAATTCTTGAGAAAAAAGAAATGAAGCAGATGAAGCTGGACTAGATATTCTGGTGTAAAGAATAATTGATTTGATGTACAAGTCACGAACCCAAATTCACTATCACAAATAGAATTATTTATAGATAAAATACACCAAACACAAAAATGAAAAAAATGAAAGTGTTATTTTCCATACCATAACCATGGTATGCGACAATTTAAAAATTCTATAAATTTTTTCCTTTATATATTTATTAATTTTTATTAAACAGCAGCTACTTGTATTAACATAATAAAAATTAAAAAGAAAAATTTTTTTTTTTAAAATATGAAATAAAAATAAAACCCAAAAAAACCCAAAAAACCCCACTGGGGCAGGTTTTTTTTATAAAAGCCTGGGTTTTTGACAACCCTGAATTATGATGAATAATCTATGTACCGCATGACAGATCAGATTCAAGATCAGGTGCCTGTTATTTGTTTGCAATAGCCACTTTATATAAAAATTTGTTAGGAAGATTATTAATTTAGATAAGAATCAATACAGGACCAAGCACAGAACCTTGCAGCACCCCAGAAGTTACTGGAAATGAAGAGTGTATGCCTTCAAGGATGACTTTGATACTACTGTTAGAAAAAAATAATATAATTATCTGTTCCACCAGTATTATGTGAGGCAAGCTTATGGAGATGATCATCATGCTAGTCTTAATCAAAAGCCAATGAGAATAAATAAAAGCTTCCATACTTGCCTGTATCTACATGGTAGGTTGGAGGCACAATTATTTGCGGAGACAAAAGATATCAGCCCAAGGAGCAGAGAGACAAAGACATTAGCCAAAAAAAAAAGAAGAATGGTAAAAAAATAATAAAATAAAGGTGATTAAATAAAGAGGTACTTGACGCTATCATAGAACTTGATACCCTAAACAATCAGCTATGCAGTTTTCTCAGTCATGCTAAATAACCAAAAGTTGTAACCAAGGACTCCGTATGTATGAGTCCTTATGACTCCTTTTTTACTTAAAAGCACTTCCAGGGACACCAGCACAGGGCACCATTAATACTCTGACATCTTACAGAAGATCCAGCATTCATCATCCTAGGCAGGAAATAATATAACACAGATTTACATCTATACCAGTCTAATAGATGAAAAAGAGGGTGCAAGGCTTTAGGGGTAAGCAGATTATGCTAACTACTAAAGTCTTTACATAGAAGGCCTTCTACAAGACAGTAGCTGGATGCAGTTAACATCTGCCCAAAATAAGTATTTTTATAGAGACACCATCTCTAGCCTTCACTCAACCAAGAGCCCAAGTCAGTGTTATTTCAAGTCAGAGTTTCTTTTTTCCAGCCTAGAAAAGAGAATCCTACAAGGCAGCAGGAAATGGGGCATGTTGTATTGGATTAAATGATACCAGTAGCATGATAATCTTAGGTATTCCAAATACTACAGTATTTGGGTATTTTTGCCAAAACAGTACTTTTTGATAAATATCTAAAGTTAGAACATTTTTTACATGATAACTAAAAATGCAATTTATCAGATGTATTTAAAGAAAATAAAATTCAGAAGTTTATATAATATTTATATTTATATAATATTCATATTTATACAACATTTATATTTATATAATATTTTTATTTATATATTATTTAGGGGATTTGATTCCTATTGTTTGTCGATTAGAAACAGAGCACTTGTTCAAATTTGGAAATTTAAATAATGATGATATGATGAAACTAATAATAAAGTATATTATGACATATTTACACAAGCTTTAGTAGAGGAGAGGAGAAATTACACAACCTAAAGAATATTTTTGACTGATGGTTTTACTATGAAAACAATTATGATTAATACAAACAGACAACCTTACAATGACAACCTTACTATACCTTTAACCATGACAACCTTACCTTTAACCATGACAACCTTAGCTTTAACCATGACAACCTTACTATGACCTTTAACCATAATTAATCTTAATAATTGCACTTTTATTAAAAATAAATTTTATTTTGTCTATAAGCAATTTTTTTTCCTATCATGGCAACTGGTTTCTAATATGAAATACCTTTTCTCTTTAATTGGAACAGCTTTATTTTAAAAAAACAAAAACAATTTAATCAATTCATTTAAAACTTGTAATAGGATTAAAATTTTCAGGGAATTAGGATAAACTCTTAGAATTAGGGTAAGCATTCGGCAATGCCAACCTAACTGCCGACCTGAAAGTGTTTGAAATCAGCAAAAAATTGCCAACCTCGTTTCTATGTTTTATGGTCAGACCTTTGTATCAAATAATTTTTGTCTATCTGATGCCGACCTCGATCTTTTTGCCTATCTGATGCCGACCTCGATCGAGGTCGGCAAATTATTGATGACCTCATTTTTCCTAATTCCCAGGCTTGTATATATATATATAACATATACAGCCCTAGGAAATAGGAAAAATGAGGACAGCAAGATTTTGTTGACCTTAATCTGCAAGAAGAAAAAAACAAAGAATAATGAGTTAAAAGATTGCTGCCCTATGCCAAACCCTCAGTCGATGCAGCACTCTGCTGCAAGTCAGGCAATTTGTCAGTTTATGTATGTATTTGTCAGTCTATGTATGTACTGAAGCCCCCAGCAGCATGCTACATCAGTATGATATCATACTGCTCATCTAAATCAGCAGTATAAGATATATACATATATATATATAAAGGTATAATAATAGTATATTTAGTGACTTCTTTATAGCCTGCTGCTGCAAAGGAATGCTGTTACATCGACTGAGGGTTTGGCATGGAGGAGCGATCTTTTCTTTGATCATTACTTTTTTTTTTTTTGAAAAGCTGTATACTAAGCTGTATAAAGATAAGTAAAACTAGTAAGCATATGCTTATCTTCATATATATAAATATCACAAATACATATGTAAACAACAATTTAACTTATACTTTAATGAAAAAATAAATTAAAGTTAGTTATATATCTAGGCATACTGTATAGAAACGTTTATTTGTCATGTACTTCCTAACACATCAGATCTAATTCTAACAACTATAGTCATATCATTAAATGAGATTAGTCTTATCATTAAATGAGATTAGTCTCATCATTAAGTGAGATTAGTCTTATCATTAAATGAGATTAGTCTTATCATTAAATGAGATTAGTCTCATCATTAAATGAGATTAGTCTTATCATTAAATGAGATTAGTCTTATCATTAAATGAGATTAGTCTCATCATTAAATGAGATTAGTCTTATCATTAAATGAGATTAGTCTTATCATTAAATGAGATTAGTCTTATCATTAAATGAGATTAGTCTTATCATTACATTACATTAGTAATGATGAGACTAATCTTTGCAACAACCCAGGTTCTATAAGAATGATTTGCAGAAAGGCCAAAAGGCATCAAAATAAATTATCATAAAGACTTAAATGAACTCATTAAAAAAAATTTAATTTTATTGTACTTGTATTTTGAATTTTATTTTAACTGTCTAGTTTGATTTGAGTCAATTTGAAACATACTTCTTTTCTTAAACATGAATAGCAATGTTTTGCTTAAATTAGATTTTTTTGCTGAATTTTACATATGCATATTGTGTAAGTAAATCTTGAACAAAATCTACTAACTTATATTTTATTACCTATAATATTATTACCTATAATGATAGCCAAAGTAGTTCAGTAGTTGCAGTAGCTTTATCATCATTGTTATAACTA